ATCCAGCGGCGAAACAACATGCCAGTGAGGCGCTTGATTTGCGACAGCCCGACACATTGGAATTCAACACTCCTAATGTTCGACCGCCTGCTCCAACAAGAAAAAGCCGTTAATAAATATTTGTATGACCGGGGTGCTAGGACAGTCTCTGGGGATCTACTAGACCCCCGGTATAAGCAGAAAGTGGCTGAAATGTTACCAAATTACAACAAGTCGGAAAGGATGCAGCATTTGCAAAATAAATTAAAAAGTATGCTTTACAGAGCGTATAAGGGTGATGTCACAGCACAATGGGAATCTAACAGGGGAAAAGGTGAAAGTAATCCTCCTCCTCCCACGACCACGCCGGCAAGGACAGGACGCTTTACAGACATGTTGTTGATGGAGGACATGCGGAGCTTTTTAAGTCCTACAAATCGCCACAGCCCTTCGGGATCCACCCTCAGAGAACGACTCGACCGACAGGTAGCAGACTACCTCGCCTTAACTGCAGATATCGACACTCTGAGGAGCGATGAACCCCTTGACTACTGGGTGTGCAGGCTTGACCTGTGGCCTGAGCTATCCCAATTTGCCATAGAACTTCTGGCCTGCCCCGCTTCAAGTGTCCTGTCAGAAAGGACTTTCAGTGCAGCAGGAGGTATTGTCACTGAGAAGAGAAGTCGCCTAGGTCAAAAAAGTCTATATTACCTCACCTTTATTAAGATGAATGAGGGATGGATCCCGACGGGACTGACAGTGGGCAATACATCCGACTAAAAAAGGCCTGATGAGATGAGCTGCCTTGGGCTAAAAATGGTCCACACGCTGCTGTATTTTAGCTCTGAATGCCGCTTGACTTGCGTGACTTATCCGCCACCAACTAGGGTTCAAGCCGCAATGTTTTAGGGCTCCCCAACCTTTTTATCGCCGCGGACCGGTAAACGTTTGATCCACGTACCGGTCTGCGGCCCGGGGGTTGGGGAACACTGTTTTAGGGCACTTTCTGCCTGGGAAACAAACATCAATTCTTCTGGCCGCTGCTACAGCAGCGGCCAGGGCCAGATTAAGAGCCCAGTGGGCCTGGTGCTAACAATTATGGCAGGCCTAATTACAGAATCATATCGACCAAAAACAGTAAAACACTCCCAAGCATCATGTATCTGATGGAGATGGTGCTGGAGAGAAAGAAAACAGCAGCTATAAGAAAGGCTAATCTCTCTCTAATTTATGTTTTCATCTTTCAAGGGCTAACAGCAGTGTCCAGTCAAGCAGGAAGTCAATGGGCATGGTAAAAGGGTGTGCCACTGACACAAATCATGTAATCACGTAACCTGCCAAAAGGGGCGAACATGCCCAAAAAGAGGACATGTCTGCTCAAAGAATTAGAAGGCCAGCTTGGCATGAATGCATGTCAGGCTGCCTGCCAATCATGCAGCTGGCCAACTAAGGGCATACTATGCAGACAGCACCCTGAGCTTGGCATAAATGCATCTAATGATGCGCTCACTCAATGCTTTCTAAGGACTGTCCCCTAGCACTCGCTGGTCCACTTGTCTCCTTACCTTCTTACTAGCAGGCAGAAGCTCCTGGTATATGGTTTGGGACAGAGAAAAGCTGTATGTAGTGAGTAGAAGAAAGGGAACATGCCACAGTGTTAGAGAGACCAAAGTCAGCATTACCTTAAAGGATCACTATAGGGTCAGGAACACAAACATGAATTCATGACCCTATAGTGTTAACACCACCATCTAGCCCCCCAGGTCCCCTCATGTCTCCATAAATGTAGCAAAATCTTACTATATTCAAGCCCGAAGCTGTAACTCTGCATGCTAGACTCATAAAAACAAGCAGTCTGCTGACATCATTAGAAGTGGTGGCCTGATCCAATCATAGTGCTTCCCAATAGGATTGGCTGAGACTGACAAAGAGGCAGATCAGGGTCAGAGCCAGCATGATTCAAACACAGCCCTGGCCAATCAGCATCTCCTTATATAGATGAATTTAATTAATGAATCTCTATGAGGAAAGTTCCGTGTCTGCATGCAGAGGGAGGAGACACTGGATGTTTGGATGCATTTTAGGCAGCCATGACCCAGGAAGGATCTCTAACAGTCATCTAAGGAGTGGCCAGTGAAGTTATCACTAGGATGTAATGTAAAGACTGCATTTCCTCTGAAAAGACAGTGTTTACAGCAAAAAGCCTGACGGTAATGATTCTACTCACCAGAACAAATTCAATAAGCTGTAGTTGTTCTGGTGACTTTAGTGTCCCTTTAACTATATTCATTGTCAGCCAGTCCACACAAGTTTTGTTCCCATACATCCCACTTAAGTTTCCATACTTAAGTAAGAGTATGTGAAAAGTAGTTAGGGTTGCCACCTTTCTTGGAAAAAAAAAAGGAGTGACATAAGAGAAAATGCTGTAAAATCACCAAAAAAACTATTAGTTTGATTCTGCTGTATAGATGGATTCCTCCCAGTGCCCCCATGACTCAGTGCCCCCATGTGTCGATTACTCCAGGTCTCAGTGTTCCTATGTATCAGTGTCTCAGTACCCCATGTCTCCCAGTGTCCCCTAGTGTCGTGTCCCCAGGTCTCCCAGTGATCCTATGTATCATAGTGTCTCAATGCCCCATGTCTCCCTGTGTCCCCATGTATCCCAGGGTCCCCATGTCACTAGGACACTAGGAAGATGGGGAGACCTGGGGAAATGGGGAGACCTAGGGACATGGAGACACAAGTGACACTGGAAGACTAGGGGACTCTGGCTGGGACACATGGGGACAATGGGAAAATAGGGGACACTTGAAGACATGGGGACACAGACACCAGGGACACAGAAACTAGAGACACTGGCTGGGGGACATTGAGACATGGGGACATTGAGACACCAGGCCCACAGACACTAGCTTGGAGACATGGGGACATTGTGACACTTTAGGCAATGAGAGACATGGAGGCACTAGGAGACATGGAGACAGTGAGACACTGGCAGACTGGGAGACTAGGGGTCACTGGGAGACAAGGGGGCACTGAGACACCAGGGACACTGGCTGGGAGACATGGGGACACTGTGTCCCCATGTGTCTGTGTCATAATATCTCCCAATGCCCCTTAGTGTCTCAGTGTCTGCCATAATATCTCCCAGTGTCCCTTAGTGTCTCAGTATCTGCCATGATGTCTCCCAGTGCCCCTTAGTGTCTCAGTGTCTGCCATAATGTCTCCCAATGTCCCTTAGTGTCTCAGTGTCTGCCATAATGACTCCCAGTGCCCCTTAGTGTCTCAGTGTCTGCCATAATGTCTCCCAGTGTCCCTTAGTGTCTCAGTGTCTGTCATAATGTCTCCCAATGTCCCTTAGTGTCTCAGTGTCTGCCATAATGTCTCCCAATGCCCCTTAGTGTCTCAGTGTCTGCCATAATGTCTCCCAGTGCCCCTTAGTGTCTCAGTGTCTGCCATAATGTCTCCCAACGCCCCTTAGTGTCTCATTGTGTGCAATAATATCTCCCAGTGTCTCAGTGTCTGCCATAATGTCTCCCAATGTCCCTTAGTGTCTCAGTGTCTGCCATAATGTCTCCCACTGTCCCTTAGTGTCTCAGTGTCTGCCATAATGTCTCCCAGTGCCCTTTAGTGTCTCAGTGTCTGCCATAATGTCTCCCAGTGTCCCTTAGTGTCTCAGTGTCTGCCATAATGTCTCCCAGTGCCTCTTAGTGTCTCAGTGTCTGCCATAATGTCTCCCAGTGTCCCTTAGTGTCTCAGTGTCTGACATAATGTCTCCCAATGTCCCTTAGTGTCTCAGTGTCTAACATAATGTCTCCCAATGTCCCTTAGTGTCTCAGTGTCTGCCATAATGTCTCCCAGTGCCCCTTAGTGTCTGTGTCTGCCATAATGTCTCCCAGTGTCCCAGTGTATGTCTCCTTGCAGCCTTTCCCCCATCCCTCACTTCCCTGAGGGTGGGAGTTCTGTCTGGACTATCTGTAGCTGCACCCCTACAGATCATTGAATATAGATAGGCAGGGAGGGATATGCTGGAAATTCCTATCCCTGCCTGTCTCCACACACAGCGACCCCTACTATTGCATAGTAATCTCTTGTTTATACTGAGAAAAATACCAGCATTTGTATTGCCAGTATCACTGCAATTGGCACCAGCCAGGCAGCCTCAAACACTGGCTGTGCCAATAAAATAAAAGCCAGGTGGAATCCCTAAGAGTAGTGTGTAAAAAAAAATTAAAAAAAAAATTTATTTTTAAATCAATGGGCCTATTCCATGGGCCTGGGCCTGGAGCTGCAGCTCCATCAGCCCCTATGTTAATCCGGCCCTGGCAGCGGCTGCAACAATACCTAATTTTTCAGGCATGTGTACATGCCTAATTTTTCGGGCCTCTGGTGCTGCACTGTGGTTTCAAAAACCAAACCAAAAAAAAGGCACATAACAGGGATTAAACTGATAAGAATAATACTACTTAACTTACTTTATAATAATGCGAGACCTAGGGACATGGAGACACAAGTGACACTGGAAGACTAGGGGACTCTGGCTGGGACACATGGGGACAATGGGAAAATAGGGGACACTTGAAGACATGGGGACACAGACACCAGGGACACAGAAACTAGAGACACTGGCTGGGGGACATTGAGACATGGGGACATTGAGACACCAGGCCCACAGACACTAGCTTGGAGACATGGGGACATTGTGACACTTTAGGCAATGAGAGACATGGAGGCACTAGGAGACATGGAGACAGTGAGACACTGGCAGACTGGGAGACTAGGGGTCACTGGGAGACAAGGGGGCACTGAGACACCAGGGACACTGGCTGGGAGACATGGGGACACTGTGTCCCCATGTGTCTGTGTCATAATATCTCCCAATGCCCCTTAGTGTCTCAGTGTCTGCCATAATATCTCCCAGTGTCCCTTAGTGTCTCAGTATCTGCCATAATGTCTCCCAGTGCCCCTTAGTGTCTCAGTGTCTGCCATAATGTCTCCCTCCCAGTGCCCCTTAGTGTCTCAGTGTCTGCCATAATGTCTCCCAGTGTCCCTTAGTGTCTCAGTGTCTGTCATAATGTCTCCCAATGTCCCTTAGTGTCTCAGTGTCTGCCATAATGTCTCCCAATGCCCCTTAGTGTCTCAGTGTCTGCCATAATGTCTCCCAGTGCCCCTTAGTGTCTCAGTGTCTGCCATAATGTCTCCCAACGCCCCTTAGTGTCTCATTGTGTGCAATAATATCTCCCAGTGTCTCAGTGTCTGCCATAATGTCTCCCAATGTCCCTTAGTGTCTCAGTGTCTGCCATAATGTCTCCCACTGTCCCTTAGTGTCTCAGTGTCTGCCATAATGTCTCCCAGTGCCCTTTAGTGTCTCAGTGTCTGCCATAATGTCTCCCAGTGTCCCTTAGTGTCTCAGTGTCTGCCATAATGTCTCCCAGTGCCCCTTAGTGTCTCAGTGTCTGCCATAATGTCTCCCAGTGTCCCTTAGTGTCTCAGTGTCTGACATAATGTCTCCCAATGTCCCTTAGTGTCTCAGTGTCTAACATAATGTCTCCCAATGTCCCTTAGTGTCTCAGTGTCTGCCATAATGTCTCCCAGTGCCCCTTAGTGTCTGTGTCTGCCATAATGTCTCCCAGTGTCCCAGTGTATGTCTCCTTGCAGCCTTTCCCCCATCCCTCACTTCCCTGAGGGTGGGAGTTCTGTCTGGACTATCTGTAGCTGCACCCCTACAGATCATTGAATATAGATAGGCAGGGAGGGATATGCTGGAAATTCCTATCCCTGCCTGTCTCCACACACAGCGACCCCTACTATTGCATAGTAATCTCTTGTTTATACTGAGAAAAATACCAGCATTTGTATTGCCAGTATCACTGCAATTGGCACCAGCCAGGCAGCCTCAAACACTGGCTGTGCCAATAAAATAAAAGCCAGGTGGAATCCCTAAGAGTAGTGTGTAAAAAAAAATTAAAAAAAAAATTTATTTTTAAATCAATGGGCCTATTCCATGGGCCTGGGCCTGGAGCTGCAGCTCCATCAGCCCCTATGTTAATCCGGCCCTGGCAGCGGCTGCAACAATACCTAATTTTTCAGGCATGTGTACATGCCTAATTTTTCGGGCCTCTGGTGCTGCACTGTGGTTTCAAAAACCAAACCAAAAAAAAGGCACATAACAGGGATTAAACTGATAAGAATAATACTACTTAACTTACTTTATAATAATGCAGAGAGAGGAGTCTGAAGAAGAGGAGTCAGAGGAGGAAGGTGGCTTTGAGTAGGTGGAAGACCAAACACAGCAGGCGTCCCAGGGGGCTTCTTGTCACCTTTCGGGGACCCTTGGTGTTGTACGTGGCTGGGTGGAGGAAGAGACCTTCAATGACATCAGTGAGGACAAGGAACGGGACATGGCTAGCTTGGTATCCAACCTTGTGCAAATGGGGAGTTTGCGGTTGTGCAAATGGACTGTTTGTGGTTGTTTGCGGTGCGTTAAACGGGGAGTTTGGTCTGTCACTGTGAAGCGGGCGTAACCCTTACACTACCTGATCGATACAACATCATACAGTAGGTCCCCCCTCATTATTTTTATGGCCCCCACCCACCGCTCACGGGTGGGGGCGGGTGGGAGGACAGTAGGTCCCCCCCCATTGAGATTTATGGCCCCCACCCACCGTGCAGGGGTGGGGGCCAGGGGGGAGGACAGTAGGTCCCCCCTTATCCTTATTTACTGAATATTCCCTGTATAACAATGTTTGGCATTTAGTGAATATTCCCTATTCTGCTCTGTGTCAGTGTGTATCATGATCTCTGAGGACAGGTGTCAATCCATATCTGCCAAGTGACCCTATGAAGGGGGAACGGTCTCTATTCTGCTCTGTGTCAGTGTGTATCACGATCTCTGAGGATAGGTGTCAATCCATATCTTCCAAGTGACCTATGTAGGAGGAACAATCTCTATTCTGCTCTGTGTCAGTGTGTATCAGGGCTCTGAGGACAGGTGTCAATCCATATCTGCCAAGTGACCCTATGTAGGAGGAACAGTCTCTATTCTGCTCTGTGTCAGTGTGTATCAGGGATCCTTAGGACAGGTGTCAATCCATATCTGCCAAGTGACCCTATTTAGGAGGAACAGTCCCTATTCTGCTCTGTGTCAGTGTGTATCAGGGATCCTTAGGACAGGTGTCAATCCATATCTGCCAAGTGACCCTATGTAGGGGGAACAGTCTCTATTCTGCTCTGTGTCAGTGTGTATCATGATCTCTGAGGACAGGTGTCAATCCATATCTGCCAAGTGACCCTATGTAGGAGGAACAGTGTCTATTCTGCTCTGTGTCAGTGTGTATCAGGGTCTCTGAGGACAGGTGTCAATCCATATGTCAAGGTGTCAATATGTCAGGTGTCAATCCATATCCATTGTGATTTAGGAATGTTAGGTGATTTATGCCCTTTATGGATTAAGACCAGACTCTAATTTTCCATGGGAGTTTTGCCATGGATCCCCCTCCGGCATGCCACAGTCCAGGTGTTAGTCCCCTTGAAACAACTTTTCCATCACTATTGTGGCCAGAAAGAGTCCATGTGTGTTTTAAAATTCGCCTGCCCGTTGAAGTCTATGGCGGTTCGCCCGGTTCGCCGGTTTGCGAAAATTTCGGGTTCGCGACATCACTAGAGATTTCATGCACTCTCCATTCTTTTAATAATATATTATTCTCTTTTAACAATTTCAGAATATTTATTTCCATAGTCCGTCTTATATCTGCAGATATAATCACCCCTAAATATATGAACTCTTTTTTCGTCCATTTAAAAACCAAATCTTTCTTTAAAGACGTTAGATTATCTTTTTGAATATTAATGGGCATAGCTATTGTTTTATTCGTATTCAGACTTTTTAGCCAATTGCTTGTCAAATAATGTATCAAAAATGCAATTAAAATCACCTGCAATCATAACTCTACCTTTTTTAACCTGTTCTACCAGACCTAAAATTTTTGTCAATGTTATAACTGGATCTTTATTAGGTATGAGTATAAAGTCTTTTATGCGCCACTCTTTACGAAAATTGTCAAAATTATCTTTATATTCCAGCATGATAGGGCTACGATCTGACCATGCTATATCCTGTATCTCTATTTTTTTATAAGATACAGCAAGGTCGTATTTCCCAGGACAAGATCTACTCTAGGGTAAGAATTAAATGTTCTGGAATAACATGTTGGATGAAATATTCTCCATATATCCTTTAGGTTATAATTATTCAGTAAGCTTTGCAATCTGTTCTCATCTTTTCCCCTGTTTTTCCTATCTATCTGGCTCTTTCTATCTCTTAAAGAACAGAGAAAACTTTGGGCCTTTCTGGTGTTTCCACCTTCCGGGTCCTTAGAATTTTAGAGAGTGCAGCGCTATATAATAATGTGAGGTGATATTGTGTTTTTCAATTTTTATAAAAACACACTTACCCTCTACAATAAGCTCAAGAAATGATATATATATATATATATATATATATATATAAAACAAAAAGAGAAAAAATATACAAATAATAGTGCAGTATATTAGAAAATTGGAAGACTTATATATAAGTGACGAATATGTCTAAACTCACATTTTTTAGAGCCTTTTCTAGTTTTTAGGCTCTAAACTTCTGAACGTCTTGTGTCTTTTTAGGTAGACTACACAACCTCTTTCTCCAGGCAATGGTATATTCCTCTCCACAGCATATATGGAAGACACAAATAGTATCAAACTAAGTGTAGTATCTCCAATAATAGATGTGTTTTAAAGAATGTAAAATTCAAAGTGCTCACCTTTTTTAGAGCCTTTTGATAACTGGCTCTAAGTATAACAGCTTAGTGTCAATTTTGGGGTGACACTACCCCCTTCCCTGGAATTATTTTCAAGATCCAATGGGATGATGTAAAAAAGGGAATATTTATTATAATAAAAAATGTATATATAAGAATTAACTTTATAAAATCACATATATATAAAATAACAAAATAATTAGAACAGAATAATATGGGTGGTACAAAAAAATATAAGTCCACTTTTTGCTAAAACGCGTTTCGCCGATCTCAACGGCTTCCACAGTCAGCTTTCTTGAGTCTTTCACTGTTGCTGTGTTTAAAAAGCTTCCATTCCCGCCGAAATTCTCGTGGTCCAATGACTTCCGTGACGCGATTTCATTGCCGTCGCGTCACTTCCGGTTTTTCGTAACTACAAGGTCCATAGTGCTTTGCGCTTTGTGCGCAACTTCCGGTCCGCGTCATATTGAAACCCGATCAACGGGAGTCCCTATTTCACAGTTCACTTTCGAGCCTTATCGGCTCGTATCCACATAGAATATACAAAAAGAAGAAAGTTATGGAAACATTGAGGCAATATATTTGATGCCTTTTTCAATACATGATGTTATACATATGTATATAGAGAAAAGTATTTCATATATATATTGTTTTCGGTTAATCTCTAGTATCATATAAGAAACCACAAAAAACCTATTTTTAAAATGCTACCTTTGATGTTGGAATGTATCCATAAAATACAAAGCAGAAGAAAAATCTTAATTAAAAGATTATGGAAAAAAAGTTATAATAATGTACATTAGATGATTATTTATAAATGGGAATAATATAACAAAGGATATGGAAATGAATTTAACTTGTGGAAAAATGAATAAAAATTGAAATGTAAATAAAAAATAAATAAATAATAATAATTAAAATAGAAATAAATATGAGTAAAAATACAAATAATAATGAAAATAACAAAGAATAAATATAAAAGTAAAAATAAATGAAAATAAATAATAAAAGATAAATATAAATATAAATAAATAAAAATAAAATAAATAAATATAGATAAATAATGAAAATAAATACAAATAGAAATGAATATAAATAATAAACAATAGAAATGAAAATAACTCTTAGCGAGTCGACTACACAGTTGAAATTCCCCATAATTAGTACCAAACCTTGTCTGATCTGCTTTTACATTTTATTTTATTGTTGCTTTGTTTGGTGCGTAAATGTTGGCTGGTGTAAATAACTTGTTTGTTTCACATATTAAGATGATGTATCACCCTTCTGGATC